CAGCTCTGCACCTTGTTATCCCGGATGATATATTGCTTCACTGAGCAACTACAGGACTTTGTTTTGGGGAGAGGGTGACCACCCATAGTTGGCCCCTATTGGCACCAGTGACATAGATAGAAAAAGAGATGAAGTTCTGAAAACAATTTAGAAAGTCAGGAAATAGATTAGCAAGTCAGGACTTTGAAGGTTAATCTTAAGATTACTCCCAGTGTCACGTGCTAGTGAGGATAGAAGCAGGAAGATTGTTTGACTGAACATGTGGTCTGAGAAATGCTATACGAGGGAGGGCTTTAGACATCTAGCGCATTGGGATTGATACTGGGCCAGGTGAGAACTTTATGAGGAACATGGATTTCACTTTAGCAGGACTGGGATTAAAATTCTTGTGGGGAGATCTGTTTGCGCTCTTGGAGAGGATTCAACCTAGCTTGTCAGAGGGATGGGAACCTAAGAGGGAATTCAGGTTGAATAAAAAGAAGCTGTTCATGGGAAGTAGAAAAGTAGGAAGGGCAGCATCAAATAAAGTTAAAATGCAGAATAATATTAGAAAGGCAGAATTAAAGGCACTCCATCTGAATTCCCTTTTTCAACAAACTAAGTGAGTTTATAAACCAAATAGAAATAATTGGGTGTGACCTAATTGCCATTACCGAAATGTGGTTGCCAGGTGATCAAGCCTGGTGTCTGAATATACAAGGTTTCTTGATATTTAGGAAGGAAAAACAAAGAGGAAGAAAAGGTAAATCAGGAAGTTAGAGGTTGCTGTGACGTGGGTGATGCAGCAAGCAAGGGTGACTTCAGTTACATAAACTTGGGTAAATCTAATGAGAACCAATGCGTAGAGGACAGAATCTGTGCAAGATAGTTTTCTAGTTTGTTGATGAATGAATGAGGCTACAAGAAAGCACTAATGAATAATTTTTCTGTAAAATAACCTTGAGGAAAGAATGATAGTGAGATAGAATCATCTTATTATGCTTGAAAAACAATGCAGTTCAATCCAAAACTGAGATATTGAATCTAACAAAGGAAAGTATATAGGAATGAGAGGCAAATTGGCTGTAGTGGATTCAGTCAATATCTTAAATGGTATGATGGTGGACAGACAATGTTCATGTTTAAAGAACTAATCCATGGCTTGCATCAAAATTACATTCACTTAAGGCACAAAAGCCCAATAGGAAAAATGAGTCAACTGTGCCAATAAAGGAAGTTGAAGATTATATTACTTCAAAGGAACAAGCTGATAAAGTTGCCAAAAAAGTAGTAAGCCTGAGTTTTGGGAGTATTTTGGAATTTAGTAAAGGAGGACCAGGAAACTTATAAAGAAATCAAGAATCAATATGAATGTGAACTAGCAAGCAATATAAAAATAGATTGTGTGTGTTTCTATGGTTATGTAAAAAGGAAAAGATTAGCAAAGAAAAATGTGGATCTATTACAGGCAGAAGCAGGAGAACTTATCATTGGAAAAAAAGGGAAAGGAAGCAAAGGCGTAGAATCATAGAATAATAGAAAGTTTACAGCACAGAGAGGCCATTTTGGTCCATCGTTTCTGCTTTTATCAAAGAAGACATCTGCCAACATCAATTGAGATCCAAAGGAGTACTGCGAATGAGGAACTAAAAGAAATTAAAAGCGTGGTGTTTGAAAAATAAATGAGACTGAAAGTTGACAAATGATCATGTTTATCTCAAGAGTATTGAGGGACTTGGCTGTAGCAATAGTGGATGCATTTGTGATTACTTTTCAAAACTGTGTAGATTCTGGAATGGTGCTTGCAGATTAGAAGGTTGCAAATGTTACCCTTTTTTTTGTTCACTTGTGGGTCATGACTATCGCTGCCCCACACTCCTCATCCTTCCTCACTGATAGCCGTGGCGGAGGGGGTGAGGAGGAGGTTTTGCACTCCCTCCTCCCCCCTCCAAATGAGAAATGGGGGAAAGAGGGGGTAACGAGTGCTTCATTCTCATTACTTTTTAACCGAACTGTGATAACTCCAGTCTGTGGGAATCCTGAGTGTGAAAAGAGAAATGAACTTTGATGATTAAAATGGAATAAAAAATGACTTGCTGACTGGGCCAGCATTTATTGCCTGTCCCTCGTTACCTTTGATTTGCTTTTATTTGATTTGATTTATTGTAGTCACATGTGCCTGGGTACAATGAAAAGCTTTTTCTGTGAGCAGTACAGGCAGATCATAGTGAACGAGGAAAAGGTCGTGGTGAGCTGCCTTCCTGAACCACTGAAGTCCATGTCCTGCAGGTAGACCCACAATGTCAGTAGGGAGGCTTTCCAGGATTTTGACCCCCTAATTCTAGAATCCCCAACCATTGGAAATAGTTTATTGTAATCTATCCCGTCTTTTTCTGTCAATATCTTAAAGATTTCAATCAGATTCACCCCTTAACCTTCTAAATTCTAGAGAAAACAAGCTGAATTTGTGTAATCGCTCCTCATAACTTAACCCCTGAAGTCCAGATATCATTCCTGTAAGCCTACATTGTACTCCTTCCAAGGCCAGGATATCCATCCTAAGGTGAGGCACCCAGATCTGCTCACAATACTCTGAGTGGGGTCTAATCAGTACTTTGTATAACTGCAGCATAACTTCTGTGTCCTTACACTCCAATCATAAAGGCCAGCATTCTATTAGCCATCTTGATTACTTTCTGCGCCTATTCGTGACATTTTAAAAATCTATGGACCTGAACCCCATCTTTGGATAACCACTGAATTTGACTTCACACCATCTCGAAAGTATCCTGATCCATCCTTTCTCAATCCAAAATGGATAACCTCACACTTGTTTACAAGGAAATACAGCTGCCACAGTTCTGCCCATTCACTTGGTCTATCAATATCCCTTTATAATTTTATGTTATCATCTACACCCACAGTGTTGAGTAACTTTGTGTCATTAACATATTTTGAATGTAGACTTTCTATGTCATCAAATCATTCATAAACAATGTGAATAAAGGGTGCTTGGGATTTCTGGAGATCATTGACTCAGCACTTCTGGCTGAACATTATTGCAAATGCTTCAGCCTTGTCTTTTGCACTGATGTGCTGTGCTCTCCCATCATTCAGGATGAAGATATTTGCGGACCCTCCTGTTCCAGTGAGTTGTTAATTATCCACTGCAGTTCACAACTGCGCTCCTTCACTCTTCGTTGATGTAGGCTTGATTCCCTGATGGTGACAGTCGAGTGGAGGATATGCTGATCCTTGAGGTTGCAGATTTTTTGGGAGTCTATTTTTTCCTGCTGCTGTTGGTCCATAACGCCGTATCGATACCCAGTCTTGAGTTGCTCAAACTGTTTGAAATCTGTCTAATTTAACACACTGATAGTGTCACATAACACGATGGAAGGTATTCTCAATGTGAAGGCAGGATTTTGTCTCCACAAGGTGGCCACTCTTACCGATACTGTCATGGACAGATGCATCTGCAGCCAGCAGATTGGTAAAGATGATCTTGTTGGTTCCCTCACCAGCTGCCGCAGACCCGGTCTCGTGGCTATGTCCCCTAGGACCCTACCAGCTCGATCAGTAGTGTTGCTGCCCAGCCATTGTTCATGGTGGACATTGAAATCCTCCACCCAGAAAATATTCTGCACCTTTCTTCCCTTAATGCTTCCTCCACATATTGTTCAACGTAGAGGAGCACTGAGTCATCAGCCAAGGGAGGATAGTACGTGTTATTCAGCAGGAGGATTCCTTGCCCATGTTGACCTGAAGCCATGAGATTTCATGGTGTCTGGAGTCAATGTTGAGAACTACCAGGATACACCCACCCGCTTGTACAGTACCCTGCCGCCACTTCTGCTGGGCCTGACCTACCGATGGACAGGGCATATCCAGGGACAGTGGTGGTGGTTTCCAGGATATTGTCTGTAAGGTATGATTCTGTCAGCCTGTTACTCAACTAGTCTGTGAGACACCTCCCAGGTGTTAGTAAGGAGAGCCTTGCAGGGTCGACAGGGCTACTTTTGCCATTGTCATTTCTGATGCTGAATTCGATGGCAGGTAACTCATCTGGTTTCGTTTCTTTTTTGAGACTTTGTAGTAAGTGTTACATTTGAGTGACCTGCTAGCTATTTCAGAGGGCATTTGAAAACGAGATGCATTCAAAAGAGCTCAAGGGGATTTTGACAGGCTGAGTGGCCAAGAACGTAACAGTGGAATATAGTGTGGATAAGAACGAAGGTGCAGAATGTTACTTAAATGGTGGGAGATTTGGAAGTGTTGATGTCCAAAATCATCCCATTCTGATTCATAAGACAGTAAATGTGAGCATCCAGGTGCTGTTAACAGTTAAATAGACAAATGGTATTCTGACCTTTGACCACTAGAATAAAAAATGTCTTGGTTACATTTCGTAGAACTTCAGCTCAACTATACTTGAAATAATGTGTTCCGTATTTGGTTAAATTTGCCATAGAGGGAATGCAGCAGAGGTTCATCAGGCTAACTGAGGAGATGTTGGGCAGACAGCGCCAGTATACTCTAATGTTTTAAAGGATGAGCACTGATCAAATTGAATCTTACAGATTTCTTAAAGGAAGATGCTTTTTCACTCTCAACCTGCTGATAGATTCCAATAACTTGTCCATAACCGAAGTTAACTAATACGCCTGAAGTTCTTCGGTTTCTCCTGGCCTTTTTTTTTGCATTATTCATGGGAGTGACATTTTCTGATTCAATGGCACAATTATAAAATCCAGAGAGCTTCAGAAAATGATGTCTATAGCATTTTCAAGTTGTTCACTTCATGTTTTAATACATTAGGCTGGAATACATTCAGTACAGGAGATTTATTTAAGATTTTTTTAAAACTGTTTTCTTTCCAAAATTTTTTTGGTTTTTGTTCCCTCTTCTTACACTATGAAAACAGATGCAGAGTTATTAATATAAATTCTCCTTTGCTTATTATCCGTAATGGTACAGCAAAGTGTCTTTTCACTGTTCGTTTCCTTGAATAGCTATTTTAGATATTCTTGTGAATATGCTAAAGAAAGAGAAGAAGCGGGCACAAGATGCCATCAATCAAATGAATTCGGCCAAATGTGGGAAAATAACTCCCTCTAGTGGCCAGTCTTCAAAAAATTTAAACTCAAGTCATGGATCAAGACAGCTTTCTGAATCAGGATTTTCTAGTAACGTAAGCACCTCAGGATCTGAGTCTACCTTCAGTTGCAGGAGAATGGGTAAGTATCTTAACATTTAATGGCAATTTTAATCATTTGCTTGAAATTGAACAATAGCTACATTTTGATGTTCATTTTTCTGAAGTTCCATTGCAGCTAACAAAAAGATTACTGTTGGTATCTAACTGATGATCGACCGCTCGTGACATTGCTAATGAACCAACATTTTCAATGGAGTGACACTCATTCTGGTGAATGGAATGATCAGACTTACATTCTTCATGGTGCTTGCTTTTGATGGCTTTTCCTGATTGCATATTCACTTAAAACAGAGGGTGTTAGAGTATTTTTCTGATTACCTTCTTTAAGTTTCTCATGCTCATTTGAAAGCTGGAAAAATTACAATTTTAGGGAGAGTCTGATTTGGCATTTTACGTCAAAGCTGGGTACAGAGAAATACTTTCTCAGAAATATTAAGCTGTGTCATTTGTGTAGCACAGAAACTGCCCACATAAGCCACCTCCCACCCTTCTTCATCTAACCATATCGTATTATATTCTGTTATTGCTTTCTATATCAATGCCATAGATTCTCCTTATATATCCCTGTGCCATTCACTCAGCGCTCACTGTGAGAGTGTGTTCCACATTCCAACCTCAAACTAAGAAGATTATCTTGGACCTGTAATTTATTGTTGGTTGTCGTATTTGTAACCACTGGTTTCACACTCCTACCATAAGTGAAAAGATATTCTGTACATCTACCCAATTGAGTCCTTTCGTTACCTGTAGAGGAAGGTCGTTGTTAAACTTGAGAGGGTTCAGATAAGATTTACAAGGATGTCACTGGGATTGGAGGGTTTGAGTGTTGGAGGCTAATAAAATCATGAGGGGCATGGATAGGGTGAATAGCCAAGGTCTTTTTTCTAGGGTGGGTGGAGTCCAAAAACTAGAGAGCATAGGTTTAAGGTAAGAGGGGAAAGATTTAAAAAATACCTGAGGGGTAACTTTCATGCTGAGTGGTGCATATATGTAATGCGCTGTCAGAGGAAATGGTGGAGATGGATTCAATTACAACATTTAAAAGCCATCTGGATGGGTAAATGAATACGAAGGGTTTAGAGAGATATGGGCCAAATGCTGGTGAATGGGACTAGGTCAGATTAGGATGCCTGGTCGGTACGAATGAGTTGGACTGGAGGGTCTGTTTCTGTGTGGTATGACTCGATGAGTCTATGACCTGAAAGCTTTAAAGAAGCATTTAAAAGCAACAGGCTAAAGTGAACGTGGGTAGGGAAGGATGAAGTGTGCTCCATGAGGCAGAAGCTTGGATTGAACTGTTCTGAATTGTTATTGTGACACCCTAAAGACATGTGGTGGATTCTATCAAGCAACATATCCATTGGCTGTTTGGAACAGGCAAAGTACTGACTGTCCTCAGTGAGTCAACATTTGCAAGATGCGCAACAGAGTGTCCAACTTTAGATGAGATTCCATATTTGAACAGTATTTGTTGGATAATCCTGAATGTGCAAAGAATTACATCCAGTTTAGGATAATCAGTCGGGCTCATAATGTAGCACATTTGCTTTTACTGGAAGCTATTCGTGTTAGTACACGACTCTTTTTGCAGACAAAAAGAACATGTACACATACTGTGACTGTTTTAACTCAACAAAATAAGTGGCAGCCATTCGCTGGTTTATTTCTTGGGGCAGTACCCTGCCAATCTGAATCAACCTGCTTGGTTAAATTTTAGCAAAAGCTGTCTGTTAACTGCTAATTAACATTAATGGGTACTTACCCGAGAGCAATGCCTTCATGCCCACTAATCAGCATTTTCCTCCCATGCAGTATAAATATTGGCTTTCTCCTTGAACTGGTTTTCTTGCTGATGGTTATGATGTGTGCAAGATGAAAATCTTTGACAAAGTGCGTGTTTTAGTCATACTGAAGTTCTGTTGTCATTACTAAATTTCGGTTCCCACCGTTTTTCTCTGGGATATGCAGGTTTTTTCATTTAATTCCTTTTTCAAAAGGCAACAAATTTATCGGGGAAAAATTCAATTGAAAGAAGTATGAAAGGTTCCTGAAATAGCAAATAAAATAAACTTAAATGCTTATTAGAAGTTTGAGAAAGTGGAGAAGTAAGGATTTGCATTGGAAGGGGGAAAAGGATAGTGTGTCATTTGAGCAATTTGTTCACTTACCGGTCACTTCCAAGCTGAAAAAGTCACAGGGAAGTAAAAATAAATTCCAATGTACATCACCCAAGACCATTTCGATCACTACCTAGCAGATGTCTAATAAGCAGCATTATTAAAAGTCTGTGAGCTGGGTCTGTGCACAGTCTGCTCAGTCATAGTATAGTATCTGCTACATAGTATAGAATGTTTCAGAGATAGTAGGAACTGCAGATGCTGGAGAATCAGGGATAACAAGGTGTAGAGCTGGATGAACAAAACAGGCCAAGCAGCATCAGAGGAGCAGGAAGGCTGACGTTTCGGGCCTAGACCCTGAAGAAGGGTCTACACCTTGTTATATCACATAGTATAGAATGATCCATTTAGAAAGCGAAGAAAATAAATTGCAGAAGAAGTTGCATTATCTGCTTTGCTCAGCTTTCGTAAAAATTTGTAGGCTTCATTATTACAAAGTAGGCATCACCACTTGATTTAAAAAAAATTGGATTTGTGCATTTTTCTAGCATGAAATTGACTGCATTCTATATAAGGTTGCATATAGGACTCTAAAGATATTAAAAAAATTTTTTTTCATGGTATGTGTGCATCACTGGCAAAGCCAATATTTATGCCTATGAGTAAATGGCCTTGAGAAATGGTTGTGTATTGCTTTCTTGAATTACTGCAGCACATATATTATGGATTTTGATCCAGCGGCAGTCAAGGAACAGCAATGTAGCTTCAAGTCAAGATAGTGTGCCAGTTGGAGGAGAACTTGTAAGTGGTGGTGTTCCCAGATGCATAAAAATAGTTGTAGCAGATAACCAACTCAGGTGTTTGGCACCTTCCAGTTGCACCCTTTTACAGCTGAGTCAATATGTGGAGAACATAGAAACATAGAAGATAGGAGCAGGAGGAGGCCATTTGGCCCTTTGAGCCTGCTCTGCCATTCATCACAATCATGTTGATCCTCCAACTCAATAGCCTAATCCTGCTTTCTCCCCATTAGCTTTGATCCCATTCGCCCCAAGTGCTGCATCCAGCCGCCTCTTAAATACATTCAATGTTTTGGCGTCAACTACTTCCTGTGGTAATAAATCCCACAGGCTCACCACTCTTTGGGTGAAGAAATGTCTCCTCATCTCCATTCTAAATGGTCTATCCTGAATCCTCATACTGTGACCCCTGGTTCTGGACACACCCACCATCGGGAACATCCTCCCTGCATCTACCCTGTCTAGTCCTGTTAGAATTTTATAAGTTTCTATGAGATCCCCTCTCATTCGTCTGAACTCCAGTGAAAACAATCCCAAATTAGTCAATCTCTCCTCATACGTCAGACCTGCCATGCCTGGAATCAGCCTGGTCAACCTTCGCTGCACTCCCTTGAGAGCAAGAGCATCCTTCCTCAGAAACGAAGGCCAAAATTGCACAGAATATTCCAAATGTGGTCTCACCAAGGCCCTGTACAACTGCAACAACACATCCCTGCTCCTGTACTCGAAACCTCTCACAATGAAGGCCAACATACCATTTGCCTTCTTTACCGCCTGCTGCACCTACATGCTTACCTTCAGTGACCAAATCATAAATATATAGTGTGAATAGCTGGGGTCCCAGCACTGATCCCTGTGACATTCCACTAGTTACTGCCTGTCAATTGGTAAAGAACCCATTAATTCCTACTCTTTGTTTCCTCTCTGCCAACCAGTTTTCGATCCATCTCAATACACTTTCCCCAATCCCATGCGTTTAAATCTCTTATGCGGGACTTTGTCAAGTGCTTTCTGAAAGTCCAAATATACCACATCGACTGGCTCTCCCTTGTCAGCTCTACGAGTTACATCTTCACAGAATTCCAACAGATTTATCAAGCAGGATTTTTTCTTCATAAATCCATATTGACTCTCTGATTCTGCCACTGCTTTCTAAATGCTCCGCTATAAAGTTCTTGATAATGGTAAAAGAATTTTGCCCACTACCAATTTTAGGCTTACTCGTCTGTAATTCTCTGTTTTCTCTCTACCTCCCGTTTTGAATATTGGAGTGACATTAGCCACCCTCCAATCTGCAGGGACTGTTCCAGAGTCTATAGAATCCTGGAAGATGGCCACCAATGCATCCACTATTTCTTTAAGAGCCACTTCTTTAAGTACTCTGGGATGTAGATTATCAGGCTCTGGGGATTTATCCGCCTTCAATCCCATGAATTTTCCCAGCACCATTTCTCTACTGATATCGATCTCCCTCAATTCTTCTGTCTCACTAAGTCTTGCATTCTCCAACGTTTCTCAAATCTGATTTGTGAAGACAGAACCAAAGTATGTATTCAGTTGCTCAGCCATTTCTTTGTCCCCTGTTATACATTACCCCGTTTCTGTCTGTAGGGGACCTGCATTTGTCTTCACCAATCTCTTTCTCTTCACATATCTATAGGAACTCTTAGTGTCAGTCTTTATGTTCCCTGCAAGCTTAATTTTGTACTATATTTTCCCCTTCTTACTCAATCCCTTGATCCTTCTTTGCTGAATTCTGAACTGCTCCAAATCCTCAGACATATTGTTTTTCTTGGCCAATTTGTATGCTTCTTCCTTGGATAGGATACTATCTCTAATTTCCTTTGTAAGCCATGGATTGGTCCTCTTGCCCATTTTGCTTTTGTGCCAGACATGAATAAACAGTTGTAGTAGTTCCCCCATTAGCAAATTAGCAACCCAAATATCATATCTAAATACTAACAGTGAAAAGTAATTTGGTCAATTTAAAGCTTTTAAAATCCAGTTGTAATTACCTTTTGAGGCTAAGCCTGTAATGAAATAGTTTACATTTCCAGAAATTACACCATGGGACACCGAATATAGATTAGTCAATTGTTACA